ATTTGAATAAATAAATCTTATATATATTAGCAAAAAACAAATAAATATTATGGACATTTCAGAGTTAGGCTAAAAGATTATGGTTTTTTATTGCCTTGCAAAATTGAATTAATTCCACTTAGCAAATTTTAATTGACAGAGTAATGGATAAAACGAAGTAAATAGCAATTCATTTATAAACTTCTTTGAAATGAACCTCATAATGATCAAAGAAAGCAATCAAATTTACACACGAATAAGAGGATATGTAGGAAAAGAAATTCTCACAGTTGTAAAACAAAACAAAAAAACTTATAAAACAGATTCTCAAAGCAAAATATATGCCTTAAGGTCATATGTGAGGAAAAAACATTTGCCTTAAGGCATATGTTTGCTTTAAAGGTGGCACTAATTGAAGTAGAAATAATAATTTAGACGTGGTTATCTTTTTATTTGCGATAAGAAATTGGAATGTGAAATTTTCTCGACATATTGCATGTCGAATTGAAGAATCAGTTATTCCGGATATTTGGAGAAATGTGAATCGTCGAATGAAGGATGCACAATTGTGATCGCGAAAACAATTTCTATCTTTTGTCTTTGAGTAATTCAGTTCCTTTTTATTGTTTTCATTCAATGAAAAGCTTTCGTTTGCAATTCTGTGGGTAAATAAGAGAAATAGGAATGAAGCATAGCTATTCAAATTAATTTTGATTCAAACAAATCTTAATAAGCGTTTTTTGATCAAACAAAAAAGGAAAAATAATTTTTAATTTTTTCCAAATTTCAAATTGTTTTCGAATTTTCTAACAAATTTCAAATTAATTTTGAATTGTTATTATTGATAAAAAAGACGATGAAGTGCTGATAATACATTCGAACAGTTAACAATGAATATTTTAGTGGATAATTCGGATAATAAACATTTTATTTGATTATGCATGATAGTCAATAGAGGCAGCTGAATGAATTTATTGTTTGAGAGAATGTTGAAGATTGAAAAGAGATTTAGTTCGTAGAAAAAGAGGATTTCTTTTTTTTTGAGTCAATAACAAATATTATTGTACGATTGATTTGCTCTGATATAAGTAATCATGGATCAAAAAATCAATGCTAATGTTTAAATACACGGAATATACAGCAATTAGAATTTAAATTAACTTTAAAAATATCGCCAATTATAAATCCAAAATTAATATCAATATTATCCGGATAAATTTTTTTCATACTTCGAATTTATGAATTCAATACAATGCAATAAAATCTTTTTAGAAAAAAAAAATGTGTATAAAATTGAATGGTTGATTGAAGAAATTTATGTCGTTTGACAGTGATAACTCTATAACTGTAAACATTTATGCAATAGCGCCACCCGAGAAAAGTACCATTTGGAATGGGCTAATTTGCACAAAAAAAAAGAATTTGAAAATTTTTTGAATTTCATACTAAAATATAGCGGAAAAAACCAGTTTTTCGCAATTGCCCATAAGACAAAAGATAGGAAATAGGAACGACTGTTCAATGTAATGTTACCTTAACCAACAGCAATGTTGAAAAAAAAAAGAAAAAAGAAAATTGTTTCAAGCCAGGTATTGAACGCAATTTGAAAAAAGTCACGAAATGTGAGAGCAGAAAAATGTTAATTTTATTCGTGCTATTTTGTTTGCATTACTTTTGTTGTATTATTTGCTCAAATTTCTGCTGGATTTGTTAAGATAAACTGAAATAATTGTAATTTAAACATATTCAATCCTAACTCTTTCCAACTGAAAAGAATTTTCCTTTACTCATTTTCAATGATGCACTTCAATTTTGAAAAGGAAAAAAAAGAGAGAGGAAGAGAGAGAAAATTTTTTAAAAATTTCTTTCTTTATTCTTTTCCATTTGCATTTTTTTAAAAAAAAAAGATCTATGTTGTTTTCAAAAAAAGTTAGAAATTTTGCGTAAAATTTTTAAATTAATAAAGAACTAATTAAATCTTACTTAGTATCTCTTACTTTTTTTCAACTAAAATTTCAGATTTCTCATATTTGCAATAAAAAGAAAAAAAAACAAGTAACTTAATGTAAGAAAAATGAACATGTAAAAATTATGAATGAAGATAAATGTAAAACTCGAAATGACAAAAATGGAAAGGTAAGTCACCACCATTTATCACCGTTGCCCCTTTCAAAGGATCATTTGGTTTCTTCAATGATACCAAAACTGTTGTCAATGAAAGATCGAAAAAGAAATTTATATTTTTCATTTATTTTTGTACAAATTCATTTTTCCTTGATTGGATATGAGAAGAAGAAAGTAACATTTTAGGATAAATAAATCAAAAATGATCCATTCTTGTTGGTTGGAGCATCAAATTTTGCTATGTTTGATGTTTTTGTATACCACCGCCACATACGGAAATGATAACCTTTCTGGAAAATTTCAAAGCAATGAATTCTTAAATTTGAGGAATATTTCAAAATTAGAAAAAAAAATTAACTGCTAATTTGAAGGACACTTCAAAAAAAATAATTGTTGTGAATAGGAAAGTAATTAAATAGTGCAAAAATAACCTCTATGTAATATTTGTGACTAAAAAGAAATAAACCCAAAAGCAAAAGAAGGAAAAGTGAAAGATTTCTGTGTTATAAACAAAAATAAATGATATGAGCCTGGCAGATAACGACCGATTAATTTTATCAAATTATGAATTTTATTTTAAAAATGTTCCCAAAAAATTTTCAATTATAAAATTTCCTTTCTGAAGATTAAATAGAATATTGTTGGCATTTAGAATAAATATAATGTAAAAGAAAGAATCCGCTAAAAATGAGAGCCAAGTAAGAAGTTGGAATGAACCAAGCATTTTTCACTGTTCAAAATCATAATTACCGCTTTTATACAATTAACAACAGGTCCGAATTTTTCATTCTCTTAAATATTATCCTTACTTATAATTACAGACAAAAGAATCAAATAATTCGTGATTGAATATAATATTTGAAAGTGAAAAAGATTAATTCTCGATAGTTAGGGAATTTTTGCAAAAATATTTTGTTTTTCTCTATCATTTAAAATAAAATAAAATATTAAAACACTTAATTTGCTAGATATCAAAAGCATTTGTTTATATAATCTAAGGAAAATGACATTAAAGAAACCGTAGGAACAGTTACTTTAGCAATTTTAATAAATTAATAAATTTAATTATAACAGTTTCATATGTTTAAGAAAATTTTAACATTTTTTAATACAAGTTCAAATTTCGTTGATTTCAATATGTATTTTATATTAGTGAAATAAAATTGATGTGAAGAGGGAGTAGCAGAAATGCAAATTAAACAAACGAAAGAATGGAATCGTTTTGCTTCAAATACAAATTTCACGTCTCACAAATTACATTTGGAATTATGCGATTGAATTAAAATAAATGAAAGGTAAATTCGATGTGTAACATTGATAACTTCCAAGCACTGATAAAAATAGCAGATGAGAAGTGATTCTTTCATAAACAAATGGATGATTAATGAATTAATGAGAAATTGAGAAGATTTTGAAATAAAGGAAAAAATTTTTGAAATAATATTTTAATAACAAATTCTATATTTAATCATTTCATCATTTCTCAAATTGAATCCTTTAAAGTATGCGCATACTACCAAACAATAATATTCAGCAGTACAAAGGTAAAGTATAACCTTTCGTGTAAAATATTTTAATCTAATTATGGCATAAAAATTCATGATAATATACTGATGAAATAGAGAATTAGATTTAGAAAATTTAATGATAATATAAATATTTTTGGCGATGGAATAGGAATAAAAAAGGTCGATAGTATAATATCGCTGGTTTTTCTGATCAGTATTGATGAAATCAAGAAAGGTGATAGGAGAATGGAAACGTGATTTGGTGAAATCATTTTCTCATATTTTATCTTTTCTTGAAATGGAAGGAAGATTTTATCGCCGTTTTGAATCATTGCCATCGTGATCGTAACGATTGGTAAAGGCATAACAAAAGATTGACTGGAAAGAAGGATCTGTTAAGAAATGGGAAAAGGGTTAAGAGAATAGGTTAACATTTCGAAGGTTTGTTTCATTCGTATTTAGGATGACAAATTGATTACAAAGGGAGAGATTAACGTGGAGGTTAACCTTTCACCTTTTTTAATGACAATAGTACTGAATTAGATGACGAGAATATTTTTGCTATGTCCTCAAAACCGGTTAACAATTCCAATGTTACATTCTATGAGGTAGATTTTAATTAATAGATATCAAATGATAGATGATCATTATCATTAAGTAAAATAATGCTAAAAGAAAAATTTTATTATGATTACCTGATTGTATTTCATTGAATAATAAAATCTAAAATTGACTTATTGAAGGATGAAATATTTAATGTTGAAATTGACCATTACTAACTAGAATTTATCTTGTAAACAAGTGAAGAATGTAAACGAAATATGAAAGCTAGTAGAATGCCACTAAATTGGGATAAGTCCACCGATTTATGAAATAAACATGCTATTCTCTCATTGCGATCGTTTACATATGCCGCTTCCTTTGTTAGCATTAATTAATTGAAAATTATCTCCAC